TGTGATCCTGATTTTAATATACAAATTAGAAATATATGATGTGACATGATTAAGAAGTGTGTATTATACTTATGTGGAGTGTAGTAAACTTATCTGGCATTCTCCAAAGTCCTTGTGAGGCCATTTAATTCACTGCTTAATTTTCCCTGTTAGCAAAAAATGGCAAACTATTTGAAGACTTTATGGTTTGACACATTTAAATTTCATGAAAAAGCTAGCATTGATCTCATTTCTTAGGTTGCTTGAGTTCAATACTTGGGAGGCTTGTTAAACATAGCATTAAGATGAACAAGTGTTTAAGACTTACTCTGCCTGTCTTAGTGTAGACACAATGTCCTTTAATCTAGAGAGTGGAAAATGTGCTTTGGTTTTCCTTGGATAGAATAGCACTCCAAAAATTATTTTCCATACATGTGGCATGACTCAATGGAGTCTCAGAGCCTGCAAGCTGGGATTGCCTTTCTGTTAGGAGGGGGTTCACTTTTAGATCCTCTAGGATGAGTTACAGGGCTGTTTTGTGGTTCTTGAGGGACAATGAGTTACATACAATTCAGTATTGAATGTAACCCAGGCATTAACCAGACCATTATTACCTCTCTGGTGATTTTGAAATTTTATACTGCAAGAAACAGCAGCTTTCATTGAATGTGTTTTATAATCTGTGTTTTAGAAATATGATGAAGCCATGATTTAGGCCTCAGAGTGGATAGTAATGCAGTATTGTGCCAAAGGACAATGGAATGCGCTTTATTTTATGTAGATATATAATTTAGCTGTTTTTTTAAAGTGTGGGTATGGAAACAAGTGGGAATGGATAGGAAAGAATTTGATGCACCCATCTTGCTATAAAACAGATTAAATTACTTTAGATAAGATTTGGCCTAGAAGTTGGAGGGTCTCTTCTCTGACTTGGGTAATTTGCATTCAGTGAAGTTAAAAAGATACTGATATGATCTAAAATGGACTTATATATACGGGGTTAGCATACATCGAATAAGCAAAACAATCCATGTCTCTGCCTAGGTTTGGATATATGTTATGTAATTTTGTTTTTGTTATATTTTGTATATTTTTTTAGCTATTTGTTTTTAGTTTGTATATTCTCAAGTGAGATTGCTCTTCAGTTCAGCCCTCACCACAACAGTTAGCCCTCAACCACAAATTATACACTTATTGGAATTAGTTGACTTCCTGACCACTTTGGAATTCATATACTTTTTAAAAATATTGTACTCTTAGTATCATCTTATTTGAAATTAAAATTTTGAAGCATCTTTAAAATTTAGTATTAAAAATCCCACGTAAGGGTTCACAAGAAGTTGAAGGAGAAAAAGTGCTGAACCTCAAAAATATTTGGATTATATCCTTATCAGTAGGGTTTTATATTAGGCCTCCTGCACAAGGGTGTTCTGCTTGTTTTTGAAAACACCTGTTCCTTCACTGTGGTACTCTGTTTTTATATGCAGTCATTTGGAGGTGTCTATTAGACCTCAGTTTTCTCCTTGACTCCAATATTTCCATTTTTTAACTTTCATGTATAAAAATACCAATATTACTTCTATGCCTCATGTGCTTTTACTTTCTTGCACTAATATCAGTCTGTATTCTTATAAGTTGACTTTGCAAAACTGTTCTTCAATGGACTCTCAGATCCCTAGATACTTAGATTCGAGCAGTTCTTAGTGTGAGAGAGAGGAGCATTAATGATTGTGCACTCAGTGTCTGTTGTTTTGGAAGAGGTCATTGAATGCTACTGCCCCAAAGTGAGTCTATATGAGTGGTTCAGAGTCAATAATTAAAGAACTGGATGTATTTTTGGTGAAAAAAGAAATGATTTCTATTATAAAAAAGGGTTGATGCCTGTGATATTCTAGGAAAGGGAGTTGACTGGAGCTCCCTAAGACGTAAGAGCGAAGAAAGATTGTGAGTGCTGCTTAAGACCTCCTGGGGCAGGAAAATGAGATTGGAAGAGCGATTTAAAGGCATGTTGGGAAAAAACAATGTTGTTTCCCATTTTGCAAAATGAAAAAAGAAAAAAATGAAAGGAGATGGTAGACTAGTATATTTTAAGCACTATATATCAGGCCACTGAAATCTTTGAACTCATTGCTCATAACTAGCCTCTGGCAAGGATTTCCAATTTCCTTCCTTTTGCTTTCATGTGCAATACAGCAGAGGACATGCCAGACAAAAACTGAATACCTCTTTTGGTGCAATATAAAAATGCATTTTGCATTTCTCTTGGTAAAATTGCTTTCCTGAGGAAATCCACTGTATTCTAAGGAGAAAATGGGACACTATGAAATAGATATCTTTGCATTTCAATTGTGTGTTACATTTGCTCTAAAAAAGAATTGACTCAGGATTCAGAGAGTGACAGAAAGGATGTATTTGAGAAAAGCAGTAACATTCAAAACTTTCCTATCTGTGATTGTCAATAAGAGTTAAGTTGCCTCTCCTTCCCCACCAAGAAATATAATAATTCGAAAGATAGTATACAAAGTTTGTATGTATATTTTTGATAAGGTGATTTTGGTAAATATGCAAGAAATGCAACGTAAATTTACTATTGCTCATTGTTAAATCTAAGTTAAGTGTCTCAAGTTTTCTTCATTCTATAACGTAGCTTTTCAGTTTTGCTCTTTAAATTCGACAATTATGTGGAGATTTTTATTTGTCTTGAATAAGTGAATTTTACGTGTCATATACAGAGTTTTCTTACCCTTAAGTAGGTGAATTGAGTGCTTTTAGGATAATTTGGGTACATGATAATCTTAATGTCAATTTTAAATATCTCAGCTTCATTGAAAAGTATTAATTGATATAAAATCAACCTTTGTGAAAGGTGAGGTGACTTTTGTCTTAGATTGTTATAAATGATTAACTTAGAAGAGTGATTATTAGCTTCACTTTGCAATGAATGTGTTATGTTTGTGACTTGAGGTTTGTCTTTGTAAGTTACACTAGTGTAGCAGTACCATATTCTGAGTAACTCTTCAACATTAGTTTGCTTTAGAATCACCTATTTTTGGCAATTACTGGACTTCATTTCCCCACCTCAAGTTTCTGATTCAGTAAGTATGGAGTGGGGCCCAGGAATCTGCCTTTCTAGTACTTTCTCAGGTATTGCTGTATTTGTGGATTCTGGGACCACACTTAGAGAATTGCTAGTCCAATGGATTATTGGTTAGAAACCCTGGTAGCTTTCCCAATTGTGACTCATAATTTATATGTCAAGATAAAGAAATTATGGATTTGAAATCCCAACATTTGTGAGGAAATTATATTTAGAGATTGCAATCATTTAAAATGAGAACTTTAAGGGTTGTCTGGACAATACCTCTATGATTTTGCCTTTGAAAACAAAGAGAATTTCAAAGTCTACAATCATGTACAAAAGTTCTTGACTGCTTCAGAAAGTATTGCAAAATGATTGGGAGGCTGTGGTGGGTGGTCACTTGAGGCCGAGAGTTAAATTATATATAGTCATTAATCTGGATTATTCAATAGGCATAGAAGAAAACTGAAATCATGAGGTGATGGGGGAAATCTATCAAGACAGCCTACAGTTCTTGAAAATGCTAATGTATGTAACAATAAAACAGTTATCATGTATTCCATATACATGGGACCTCAATTATTTGAGAGCAGGATATAAACAGGGATATCACATCGTACCATGTTACTGGTATTAATACTATTGTCAGTCCCACCAGCTACCTGCCCAAACTTTATTAATGAGTAAATTTTATGACCAAGATTATGAAAGAACCGATAAACACTATCTCTAAATATAGTTTAAGTTGGTTATCACTATTGCAACTGAATAAGATAATAGAGCATTTTTTATTCACAAATAAAATGAAAGTAAAAACTGTAACTATGAGGATCCCAGCTATTACCATGTAAGAATTATGTATTTGGTTTCTGGCATTATCTGGTTCAATTTTACGTGTGTTAGTTATCTAGAACAAATAAAATGACTAGCAACTTTTCACACATTGGTATGGAATATGATAGTAAATTAGACAGGATTTGTTTATAAAATACCATTCTTAATAATCTGAAAGAATTGAGTACTTACTGAAAAAAACAACAGAGACTGGCATAGGATTAACACCCACAAAAAAAGCAATTTAGGATTTATCAGAAATGTTTGAAAATACTCTTCTGGGTCAACACAACTTTCAAAGCATATTTAGTATATTCTGGGGCAGGAAAGAAGTTATAAGGTTGAATTCCTAGACGTAGTACTGAGAGGAAGGTAGTCTTCAAGCCCCTTCATGGATGCAAGCTGTTTGCTTCTTTGTTTTTGATCTAATGAATCTATAATAAGTTTCCATAGGAATTATATTTTAACACCTTCTCCCAGCATTCACAGATGTACATATCACTCCTAAATTATAATCCATATTAGGCAAAACAACATAAAAGTATTGTTAATGCAATCACATTGGGTGAGTGGTTTGGAATTTAGCTTTTACATACTTAGAATGAAAATCTCTAAAGTACCAGAGGGAAGATAGTGTAAGTAAACAGAACCATTCAAACATGGATTTAAATTTAACTCTGCCATATACTGGTTGTTTTTTTAGGCAGGTGATTTAACTTCTGATCAAGAGACTTAATTTTCTCATTCATCAAGTAGAAAGAAAAGTACCTATACGTTGGAATTGTTGAGACATTTAAAGATCATTTAATGTACTGCTTGGTAAATTACAGATGATCAAAATCGATTTTTATTCATCTTTTAGATTATATTATCACCTTAATTTATTGTTATATTGCCCCCTTGTCCATGCTAAAAGCCATCCAGTTTCCATGTTTGTGATTATATGTAACACAAATTTGACTCTTATTGCTAAATAAATAGATAATTAGTTTAGAATGATTGATTGCTAGCCTCTCTCCTAAGTGTCACTGTGCAAGGCAGACTACCTTATAAAACTTTTGATGTAGAAGTGGTGGAGACAGACAGCAAAGAAAACAGCATTCACACATCAATAAATAGATATTTAAGGAAATATTGGTGATACAGTTTGAGAAAAACAGGGTGGCATGTTAGAAAGTGACAAGATTGCAATCAAGCTGTTAGTTACAGCTGCAGTCTCATATGAAGGCTTGGTTAGGGTGGAGGGAGGAATCTGCTTGGTGGCTCACTCAGGGGATGTCTTGTTGGCAGGCCAGGTACCACATGAACCACTCCACAGGACTGCCTCACAACATAGTGGCTGGCTTCTCCAAATCAAAGGATCTAAGATACATTGGGAAAGAGACTCCATGTTAGTTGGAAGCCACAGTATTTTTACTTATTTTTTTTTATTATATTTCATTTTATTTTGAGATAGTGTGTTGCTCTGTCATTCAGGCTGGAGTACTGTAGTGATTATGGCTCACTGCAGCCTCAAACTCCTGGGCTCAAGTGATCCTCCCACCTCAGTTTCCTCCCAGCTAGGACCACAGGTATGCCCCACCATGCCCAGCTAACTTTTTAATAGTCTTTGTAGAGACAGGGTCTCACTATGTTGTGCAGGGTGGTCTTAAACTCCTGGCCTCAAGCAATCCTCCCTCCTTGGCCTCCTAAAATGTTGAGATTACAGGCATGAGCCACCATGCCCAGTCCACAGTGCTTTCATAATGTAATCTTGGAAGCAACATTTAATTGCTTCTGCCATATTCTATTCATTAGAAGCAAGTCATTAAGTGCAGCCCTTACTCAGGTGGAGCAGATTTCAGAAAGTCATGAATGCTACTAGGAAGGAATTGAGTGTCCCACAGGGGCTGACTGCCTCAAATAGTCAGAGGTACCTTGGATGCAACGTGTCCAAAATGGAATTTATCAACTGACTGCTGAATCAACTCCATATCCTTTATTCTTGAATTCCATCGCACCTGTCACCATTTACGTACACTGTGTCCCAAGCTAGAAGCTTATGGTCACTAGTAATGCCTTTCACATTTTCACCTATATCTAACGGGTTATCAAATACTTTCACTTCAGATATGTTTCCTAATTCAGATTCTTATCTTCATTTACTCAGCTGCTAAGACTATGAATCAACTATTTTCTGTAGCTATTGAGATTATCTTTATTATGCTTCTCTTCATCCCATTTCTATTCACTTTAATTAGAATAATTAAAATATATTCATGGATTCTGTTGCTTAAAGGCTTCCATTGTTTATACTACCTATAAAATCAAATCCACTAGCTTGATGTTGGCATATTGGGCACTTTATAATATGGCCCAAAGGGAAGTTTCTAGCCCTATTATCCAATCTCATCATTCTCACAGGGTTGAAATACTGCCAGTAGGGCACGCCCTCAGGTGATGTGTGCAGGCCCATTCCGATTTCTTTTTCTGTCTTCTTTCTTATCTACCGTGCCACAACCAGAACCTCATCAGGAAGCTTTTCTCGGGCTTCCATAGTCATCATAGGTCATGCAATTCCCCAGTTCTAGTACATTTCTATAATGTCATGCAGCTCATTGAGTTATCAGCTTCATTTTTTCCTTTTATGTTGTCTTTTGAGAATAACTTCTGAGCAATATTAATCTTGAAGTCAAAGTTCTGAGCAGACTGGTATAAGGATTAACAATAAGTATTGAGTGAATAAAAAATTCCTTGTTTAAGTTATTGTGTATAATTGCACTGTATCTTTGAAAGGAAAATATTTGAACTACAGAGGGTCCAAAGAAGGGCTATGAACAAGATTAACATTTGATTATGGTTTCTGTTAGGGACTCACATATGTAAATCTAAAGAAATTATATGAATATTTAACACTTGTTGCGATAACACCATTTGCTAAGCACTGTTTCGAGTGCGTTACATTAATTTACACAATCCTCACAATAACTATATAAATAAGGTATTTTTATTACTCTTATGTTATGGATAAGGTTGCTAAGACCCAGAGATTTTTGTTAATGTTTCCAAGGTCACTCAGTAGCAAGTGGTGAAGTTGCTTCTTAGCCCTTTCAATGTAGATACAAATACTCTGTCTTACTCTAGAAACAAAGTGGTTTCCAAAGATGTATCCGAATCAAGATGACATACACTGGAAAAGGTTAAAAAGTAAAACCAAGGCTAAAAGGCAAAAGACTAATTAGGATACATGGATGAAATTATATTTGTGAACCAAGATTATCAGAATTTATAATATCATAAAAAAGAATTTTAAAATATTTCCCCTCTAAACACCAGGAAGAACTTTGGCAGCTTACCAGTTTAAAGAGGAAAAGAACTCCTGCTTTCATAAACAATGGGAAATGCATTTCTGAAAATCAAGACATCAGATGATCCAAGTAAAAAGTATAAATACCGTCTGATGTGCAGAAGAATTCATGGATCTCTGCTGGGCATGGTGGCTCACACTTGTAATCCCAGCACTTTCTGAGGCTGAGGCAGGCGAATCACCTGAGGTCAGGACTTTGAGAGCAGCCTGGCCAACATGACGAAACTCTGTCTCTGCTAAAAATTCAAAAATTAGCTATGCGTGGTGGCAGGTCCCTATAATCCCAGCTACTCAGGAAGCTGATGCAGGAGAATTGCTTGAACCCAGAAGGCAGAGCTTACAGTGAGCCAAGATCACACCACTGCACTCCAGCTTGGGGAACAGAGTGAAGTCCCATCTCAAAAAGTAAAAGTAAAATAAAAATAATTCAGGATCTTTTATAGACTATTCCAGCATGTTCTTAATTTCTGTAAGATGGGGAAGGTGGGTACCAGGCCATCTCCATCAACAGGGTCCTGGATAGCTCAGAGGAAGTGGATTCATATTGTATTAAACCAGAGAGCATCTTTCAGAAGGGCAGCTCTTATTAATTTTTTGGAAGAGTTCTACAAAAAATGCATAATATAGTTCTTAGTAATGGGCTCATCTGTACTAGTTAAAGAATGTATTCGCATGGATAACTTTTTAAAAAATAATGTTAAGTGAAAAACCTGGGACCACAAGCACAGGACACCATGCCTGGCTGATTTTTGCATTTTTTATAGAAATGGGGTTTCACCATGTTGGCCAGACTGGTCTCAAACCCCTGGCCTTAAGTGATCCACCTGCCTCAGCCTCCTAAAGTGCTGGTATTACAGGCATGCATCACCATGGTCTCCCACATTGTTAATGTTATCATTTCTTGTTATATTATTTATGTTTGAAAGGTTTCTTAATAAAAATATTTAAAAGTAAAGGCATTATGAACACAATAACATGAGCATCCAATATGTACTTCTGTTTAATTTCAATATTTCCTTTGAAATTGGCAAATAAACTTTCTAATCAAGTATCAAAGAATTATAAGTTAAATTCGAAGATAAAGACTTTTGCAATAGACTTGTTAAGCAAAATGGAATTTAACTTCCAAATTTTACTAATATTTAATCAATTATAATTATCAGCTGATGTATTCTAAGTAAATGTAGTTTTTATTTTGAAAAGTAATGCCATTATCAATTTTATAGAGTATCATTAGAAGAAAGTATTTTCCAAGTCTATTAAAAATAATTCATTACTAGGTCAGTAAAAAAAACATATAAGATTGCCTCTTCTTTCTGGCATTTTCTTCATTTAATTATTTCTTAGTCTTATTTTTTTTAATGTTTAATGTACTTGAAAGAGTGGATACTGAATATCCAGTGTAAAACTTTAGAATTAAAAAAATGGTATAACCCACACTCTGAGCTTAATACTTTCTACACATTTGATTTAACTTTATATTGTCATGGCAATTTCAATCCAATTCATAACTAGAATAAATAAACACTATATGTTACTAGAAGTAAACAGAGGGATTGAATATATGAGCTTAAAATTTTTAGCAAGTAAAAGTTGGAAATTAAAAAGACTGAAATATATTTTTATAATAAGATCGAATTACTTCAACCAGAGTCAATAACTGTTATACTTTAAACAAATACAGTCATTTATTTGTAGCTTTATAAATTATTTTATTTCAATGCTAATTTTACTGATGACTACTTAGGTCTTGTGAAGATCCCTCAGGTTATATGATTAACAGCTAAATATGACCACAGGCTACGTTATCAAAGCATCAGTTTGATTAAATAGGCTTCCCATAAAGATGGTAATATATGGAATTATTGCTGGGAGTGTAGAAGAACAATATGTCAATTTTCAGAGGGAGTAAAAATAACAAAATATTTGGAAACTAGTCTGCTCTTGCTACAGAAAAGTGTGTGTGTGTGTGTAATAAATAGGCAAAATATGAATGTCCCTATTTTATAATAAATATTTCTTCTGTGTGTTTTAGATGAGCTTTCAGTTTGTTATAATCATTTTGTTAGTAGCCTCCATCTATCAAGTAAGAGAGAATTGAATTTCTTCTCTGTTACATGGATTAAGATGGTAGCTGCAATCAATTTCTGAGTTCAATTTTAAATATGCAAATTTAGTCTTCTATAAATTGCTCTTACTTTACATATAGGGACATTTATAACAATACATCCAACAGTCTACAAATTAATGTCAAATAATGAAGCAAGCTCCAAATTGTGTGACTGCCACCAGTTGCCTGGGTGGCATATGGCAAGTCACTTAACCTTGGAGACCTTAATTGTCCTATTTGCAGTGCTAAGGAGTGGCACTATAGTTCCATGTCTATGTTTCTATTAATTTTAGTGCATTTTAAAAACCAATATTTTCAATAAAAATGTAAAAACATTATTAAATTCTTGTCATTTTTCTGGAAAAAAAATCTCTTCCATTTATACATTTTATTTTATTTATCTCTCCTTGTTTTAATAAAGCCCATCTGCCATCTGATTTATTCATTAAATAAACTCATCTGAGCGTCAGTTGTTTTTTCTTTACCTAGTAGATAGAGCCTGCATATAACATGATTATAAAGTGTGAAAATAAGGGAACTCTAGTCCAAAAGACATAGGAAAAAGATTTGCCAAAAAAAGGTACATACATATTATATTTCTTTATTCTTTCTCTGTTTCTTTTCTCTCTCTCTCTAATATGCACACAACCACCCCTATTAAAGCAAATTTTAATCATAAATATAATATCCAAGTGAAGCTAAAGCATTTTGTATGTTATATATCTAAAGGATTTGTTTAAATGTTGTTTAAACCTAGTGCTAACATCTGTGTTCTCTTCCTCCCTAAATGAAGGAACAATGTATCTTTTATGCAATAAATAGATAATTCCATCATATGCAAAATCCTTTAATTCATGGCATTTGTTGCTCTTGCTTTTCAATTAAAGACTTTTCAAAACAGTAACCAACGGGATATACAACTTTCCCTATGCCTTCATAAATTTTCACTGTACAATATAAAATTGAAATAATGTTGAGATAGAGTAACTTCCAGTTTGGAGAATATGGTATCCTTATATCATGTACGACCCAGTGGCATTTGCTTTTGTAGTGAAAAAAAAGCTAAAATATATTGATTTTTGGAATTTTTGATAGAAAATACACTTATAAAGATAACAGTAACCAAGGCAGACGGTGAAGAGAATCATACCTGTGATACGTATAGTATTTTAGTTATTTTAAAGACGGATGGCGATCTTACTGCAAACATCTCTACAGTGCAGTCTCATGAAGTCTCATTAATGTGTTAGCCCTTTATTTTGCCGGTGAATTTGTTGACAGAAAGTAATTGGGTCACACTGTATTGAAATGCCCCATGTAAGCTCAGAATTCTCTGTGTTGGTTGGCATGACAACCATAGTGGTCGATTAAACATGCTCAGAAATTGGGAACCTGGGCTTCTCAGAAGCTGTTAACTAGATGGGGAATAAAACACTGTGTAGATAATGGCAAATTGGGCCAAAATGTCTAAGAATTGCCTTGAATGTGCTATTATACATTTATTTATGTAGTGCTAATAAGATAAATTGTATGTGCAAAAAGCTAGATATTTAAAAATTCACTTAGATGATTGCTACATATAATCGTGATTTTATGTGGATTTTAATAAGAAAGGTTGAAACAGTCTTACAGTATTAAAGACTCTACTGGAGATAATTCTGATATTACTCAGAACAAACAATTGCTATCAATGGCAATTTCAGTTTAGCTCTTTCCCCTTGTAAACGATTGTGTGAGATGCCTGGCAGATGATATCTGCAGATGGCATACAAAGGCACATTGGCAAGCAAGAACAGCCTTTGCTAGCCAGTTTTGCCATAGCCAAATTTAGGGACCAGGAAGATGGTAAAAGGACAAATCATTAAGGAGAGAAAGAAACAGAGTTGGTTTGATGGCATAGCTCACTAGTATCTGTTTTCTTCTGTATCTTAACTCCATTCCTTTGGTTAGTATCAACTGTTAACATAAAGACAAAACTTGGGCATAGAAAATTAAAGCAAGTTATGATGTCCTAGGACACAATTCACGACTTTTTCTTATTGATGTGATTTGATGATACCTCAGAAAACATTTAGGCTAGGAGAAGGAATTGTCTTTCTAGAAAGTGTTATTATTTTTTTAGTTAGCCTGCTTTTATCTGGATAATAAAACAATAAGGACAAGATAAATTGTACATAACAGATCTACAGCTTCTGCAATTGAGTTTAGTTGCAAAGACAATCAATATGGGAGATCGATGAAGGGGCCATCTCTTAATTTTGTTTTTTATTAGTATGGTTGTATTAAAATTCAAACATGGTTGTTTTGATTAATCAATAAGCTGAATATGGATGTCAACTATAGAAATAAATATTTTAAGTCGGGCACATTTTTTTCCAAAAGTCTATTGTTGAAATAACATTTTAAAATCATTGTTCATTATAGCACTTTTGAGATGAAGACATATTAAGGATCATCTTTGTTCTGCAAAAGCAAATTAACTGTGTAGGATTAGGAACTAATTAGTGATAGAACTGGGCCTAAAACCCTGCTGGCCTCATTCAAATGCAGGCTCTTTTTACAGCACCGCAGTGCCTTTTAAACCCACAGTGTGGTCAAGACACCGTAACTCCCTGCTTCCAGGAGATGTTCATTTAGTGTCGGTGAAACCAACACTGTTGGCGCGTTTTATTTTCATATTCCTCATTTTCTTTCTCTGCCATAGTTCCTTGTATGGAGTTATGGCTCTAATTTATTACCTTATGCATCAGTTTTTGTTTGCTTAAATTTTTAGATGGCCCTATTAATGTCTTCATTCTGTTTACATGTCTCATTTGTCCATTAAGAATTATTAAAGAGTGGATAGGGTGTTTGCTCACCATTGGCTGGTATTTTAAAATTTACTTCTGAAACATAAAGTCTGCTTCTGAAATTACCCTGTAACACTATAAACACATGATTGTGTAAAATTTTCATTTGCTGCTATGCAGATAATTAACAGTAATAAAACATAGTTTCAGTTTAGTTTATAAATGTCTCTAACATTAAATATTCTAGGTTTGGGGATAAAGTTTTTGTCTCTGTTCTATTTGCATCTATATCATGCTTGATTAAAGCTTTTCAAGTACTGGGATTCAAAAATGTTACATTTTTGAAAAATCAGTGGTTTGTACAATTTTATTTTTATTTATATTAATAAAATGAAATGAATATACCTTGCCAATTTAAGGAGATTTCTTTGAGAAAAAAAACTGATGGTTTTCCTTGATTTCAGGATTGAAAATAAATGTAACCCTTACTGTTCTTTTTGTTTTCCTTGGCATATCAGGTAAAAAATCTTTGTTTTCATTTCTCCTTTGTTTATTTTTTTTAATCTGTTTTCAGATGTGTCTCTTTCCCTTTCTGTTGCTTGGTCTCTTCTCCGTCTTGCCCTTTAATATTCAAACACGTCTCCCTCTCTCCTCCTTCCACTTGCTGTGACTAGACTAGCACATGTTCTTCAATGTCCACAAAAGGACAAAAAGAGGCAGGAGGAGGAGGGTGAGGTAGAGAAGCGAGGTGCTAGCAAAGTCAAATGTGAAGTAAAGGATGAGAAGAGGGCAGATGGAAAAATGGGGAAGAAAGGATGAGACAATGGAAAAGTGCAATTTTTATAACTTAAAACTTCAGAGATAGGTACGTATGACTTTTATCACCTTCATGAGATTGATTTGTTCATTCATTTATCATTTAATAAATATCTAATGAGCACCGAATTTGGGCCAGCTCTAATCAAATTGCTGGGAAGGTAGCAATTAAAAACGAGCTAACAAACCAAACCCAGCCTTCATGGAGCCTATATTCTAGTAGCTAAAACTGTCATTTTAAAATGGTGTTTTATATTGCTTGTGAATATTCTTGTTTCACAAGTGAGAGCAAAAAGAACAGATTTTTCAAAGAAAATTATATCTTGCATATATTCAGTTAGATATATAGGTTGTGATTTGGGGAAAAAATCTGAATTAGAAATCTGTACTTGTAAATCATCAACAAGCATGCAGTCACTGGTGATGCTGACACTGATGAAATCAACCTGAAGATGGTTGTAGAGCAAAAAGTACCAAAAACGGTGACTTAAAAAAACAATTTAGAAAAACTCCCAGAATAGAAAACAGAATGTTAAATTGTCACAGAAGAGAGCTTGTGCCCTTGAATCAAGGGAGAATAGAGTTCCCGAGGGAGCCAGTAGCCAGCGGTGTCACATTTTAATGACAGACCTGGAAGGTAAGGTCAAGGGTGACTTTGATGTGAGTATTGCTGGTGAAACTATCGAGAAAATCGTTTCTGCATTATTCTCTGCAGTGCATACCGCATAAAAAACATTATTAAAGCTTTAAGATAAATTTTAATAATTGGCATGTCACATCTAATAAAAGGGATGCTTTTTGGTATGTTGTTTGATCTTTGATAAGGATTTGAAAAGCCTTATGTATCAAGGGCAAAAAATAAGAACAGAGGGAGAAATAGAAGAACAAAAGGAAGAATCCCACTCAGATTATAGGCTAAAGGAAAACTCATAGAGGGAAGTCAGTTACAGGAGGGAATGCCATCCAATGAGTGGCTGGATAGGTTAATAAACACATTTAAAGAAGACCACAGATATTGTTCTCTTTAAAGAATAAAGTTCTTGTTCCCTGATATCAAAGAAAGACCATTTGGCTTAGTCTCATTTTGGGTGCGTTTGGTCTTACATTTCTGTTGGAGAAAGAATTGTGGTGAAACTAATCTGGAGGTTTTGTGCAGAATGAATTAGAGAGTGAGACTGGAGGTGGATGATGATAGAGGCCAGACCAAGGGAAAACCTATAGAATGAAAGCGTGCAACTGACTCAAGGAAACATGGGCAGGAAGAACTGATAAGGCTCATATCACATTAGTCCTGAGGGAGAAGGGAATGTCTAGACTCAAGATGCTTTCATGTGCTTGAGTGATAAGGAGAATAGAGAAATAGGAATGGCAGGAGAAGGTGCTGGATAAAGGGGAAAAAATGCCTTATTTTAGATATTTTGAGTTTGAAGTGGCATTAAGACACCATATGAGGGTGAAAATAAACTATCAGAAGTGAGGGACCAAAATAAGTAGAGGGGGCAAAGGTTCAGCATGGGAACTTTGTAGATGCCCACATTGAGGTAATTGGAGGAAGGAGAGTGGGGAAAAGGGAGAGAAGACTGATAATTTAGATCAAACGTTACTTGCCAACTGCTATTCATTTAAAAAAAAAAAAAAAAGCCTTTCCGGATCCTCAAAAAAGATGGTATTATTTGTAAGTGTCTCGACCTGAGATTTTTAAACATTCTCAATTCATGGTGTTTGTAGTGTCCCAATAATTTCTCCTCATGGTGTCTCTAAGTCAAAAGAAACGCCTAGCACTTCTAAGTTAATGGATGTCATTGTGTTTTCTGTTGAAAGTTTAAAATACCCGGCAGTGTTCTGTGAGTTTGCTGCCACTCTGGGAGATGCGTTGGATCACAGGTTGGAAACTATAGGTTTATGCTATGCTGTCTCCTATTTTTTTTCTCTATCAAAGTGTATATGGCACTATAATTGCTTCTGTAATGTTCTCTCTTTCTGATTGGACTGAGTCTGCAAACTACACGAGCAAAGAACCATTTTCATCTTGTTCCCCATTGAATCCACCTTGTCAGCCATGATGATCGGCTTGTGGCAGGTGTTCAATAACTAGTTGTTAAATTAATCCCAATTATGAGTGCAGTAATCTTATTAGTCTTTATATATGGTGCTGATTTATCTTCATCTATTTTTCAAACTCTAAATTATTTTCTGGCACATTTCTTTTAGTAGAATTCTTCTAGTGATCTATGTGAAATTTGTTGACAACATATGAGTAGTATGAATGCAAATGCTAAAAAAGGGGTTTCATTTTTAGTTCTGCCTAAGAGGGGAAGGGAATTTAAAAGAATAATCAGTTTGGGTAATTGTTAACTGTTAAGGGTTCTTTAGAAGAGATGAGAATAATAATAATAACAATAGTTAATATTAATGTAATATGGTTACTAATTCTATTCCCCCAACAGGTGTAGGAGGTATGATGCGTAACAACCTACCCCCAAAGTTAGTAGCTTAAGACATTCATTTTTCATTTTTCACAGCTATGTGAGTTGTTTGACTCATTCTTCTGTTCTATGTGATATTGGCTGCAAGGGACATCTGCAGTTATCTCGGAGCTTGATTGGGCTGGAATGTCTAAGAGGGCTCAGTTGATGCTGGGTGATGGCTGTGAGCTCAGCTGAGACTCTGTGCCAGAATGTCCAGGTGTGGCCTCTGCATGGAACTTGGACTTTTCATAGCA